CCATAACATTCAACCACTGAATTACATCACATGACAGAATGGCTTGAATATTCGAATAGCAACAATGCACCCATGCTGTTTGATAGTGGTGCGTTGTAATCGCTTACTTAATCAGTGAATAAGTAAACTTTGCGCTCGTAAGTGCATCGTCGAAATTAATCAGGTTGAATCGTTTTTATTCAGAAATTCTCTTGAATAATTGTAACTTTCCAAATTTTGATATTACTTCAGATTCTAGAGTTGTATTGTTCTAAACTTATGGTCAATAACCACATAGCATGGCTAGGATCGCTTTCCATATTATTATAACAATAATAGCCAACCTGTCATTGAGCTTTTGTTGACTTTATGCTCGATTATAATCCAAAATCAAAACAACAGATGGTCTTGCGAAACATTTGCAAAGCAAATTTAAGGATGGTTTGAAAAAGAAGTGATTAGTGATGGCTATTAGCAGACTACATTTCCTGAGTAGCGTTTTAGCGAAGATTAGCGCTATTGTTTCCTATTGGCAGCATTTTTAGTGAGAAGTTTCCGCTACTTTGAGTCAGCGAGGCAACTAGCGGATCATTCGTGGCGAAATAAAAAATATTATTTAGGGAGTTGACAGTTAGTGAAGATATTTTTTCAGCACTGTGCACATCACGGACAATAATAGTAATAATAATAACAATAATAATAATTATTATTATTATAACAATAGCAATAATAGTTATTATTAGTATTTCAATACTAATGATAATAAATTGTTTGTTTTCCTTCATACCGGATCATGCAGTCGAATTTGGGATGGACACATGTTGAAGGTGGATGAAATAGTATCAAATTCATCGAGAAATGTCAATGAAAGAATTCTCTAATTTGATGCGCTGCTGCATAATTAGTGAGTGGCTGTAAACGTGATTGCTAGCAGCAACAAATCGTGCAAGACAATGTTATTCACTTGCTGTGATCATGTTTTGAAACGATAAATCTGTCTGTTGCTGCGTTATTTTGCATCGTTTTTATCAACACCATCTAATGATCGCTACTAACCACATTCAAACATGCAGGTCATTGATTACACATCATTACAACACTTCAATGCTCCTCTTATCTTTTATCTCGTGCTGCTGCATATCCACTGATACCATTTCTTATTGCTACAAACTTAATGTTTTCATCATTTGACAGACACTTTCACACTTCCGAAAGATGAACAAAGAGCCCATCAATCATTTTCACTGAGAATTTGTAAAATCACGATCGAAATGGAATCTCGAATATTGCCAATCAACAACGCTGAAGAAGCGCTCCTTATGAGCGATCCATTATTACCTATCACTGTTCATTGTTGACATTTATTGCCTATCACTGTTCATTGTTGACTATGCACCATTGATGTTGATTATCTAGCATTATTTACAACTCATATTTTACAAATGCTGTGCATCACATAACACCTACTGCACTCATTATTTACACTTACCATTACATTTTACTATTCACTGTAAGATTATTACTTTTTTGTTTTTGATCTATTTTGAGCACTATGAAAGAGTAGCCCTGAATCAGTATCAGTGCCGAGCGAGTAATCTCTTTTATGAAGACGGGTGATTTCATGCGCTGATGTCATTAGCTGTGCAGAAAGAAGAAGATCGGTAAAGGAAGCATGCGGTATTCATGCGGTTTTGATGGCAACACGGAAGCGTAAACTCATAACATTTATTGTAACTACTGATTAAACAACTAACTGCTGAATTCGCTATATGACGATGACAGCTGCTTCGGAATGCAAACTTTCATAAACATACTACCCTTTATTACGCTTACTTCTATTGGTCACACTTGATTATCTATGTATCTATCTGAACTTCCATCAGGCCTGTTACGCCCGACCTCGATCCTGAGACTGATTATCCGAAAATCAATTGAAAAATCGGGAGATCACATGATCGCAAATCATTTCTTGATCAAAACTTGTGATACCAGCTCGTTAATGCCTATTCAGAAAAAATCAAAATCAAAATACAACTGAAAATGAAATGATAGTGCCACAATAACGCCTTTGAATTTGTCTGGTGCATGATGGTACGTTGACGTTTGAAGTGTGCTGCATACTTCGATAATTGCACAGTCAGTGTGATAAGAAATTTTGACAGTTTTTTTCTTTGAACAGTTAAATGGATTTCATCGATGAGTCGCGTCCTTCATGGGTTGACTACACGGTTTTCGCGTTCAGTTTATGCTTATCTATTGGAACTGGTTTCTATCATGCTATAAGGTTGGCTGATTTAAATGTTAAATTAGTTGTATTTGATAGAACATGCAAGAGCGATTCAGTATTGAATGAAATGTTTTGAGCTGATAAAAGAAATGTTTACCTATCGCTTACACGTTGAGTGTAATAGACATGTAACATGCAATGTTGATGAAATTCTTGGATTGTTTCTTTATTGACAGATAATTATTACACGACAATCACCTAACTACTCATGTGATTCCTGTTCGAATAAAAGAAAATTTTTAGAAGTCAGTTAAAGTTGAGAGATTCTGAAGGTATGCGAACAAGTCAAAAAGATGAATATATGATGGGCGGTCGACAGATGCCCTCACTTCCTGTAGCGCTCAGTTTATTGACGACGTTTCTTTCTGGTGTTCTCATGCTAGGAGTTCCGGCTGATATGTTCGAACGAGGTTTTTCAAACACAAATACTCAGAAGACACCTTTAATCAGTCAAGTTCATTGAGGAGATTCGCTAGAAAACCACTGATTAAGAATCGATCGTTGCTGATTAATCGATCGTTGTCGATCAAATCGCCATCTACGTCCATCCAAACATGTCTCCTCAATTCCAGGTGCTCAGATATGGATGAACTTTGTGACAGGTGCAATAGCTTCGATATTGACGGCACTCATCTTCTTACCGATATTCTATCGAATGCGGAGTACATGTCTCCATGAATACTTCACTCTAAGGTTTCTATCACACAATCGTCCATCTCCTCCTTCAAACACACGAACGAATCCTTTCTGTTTCAGATTCAACTCGAAGTTAATTCGTCAAGCATTCTCTGCGTTGTTTCTGTTCTTAACGCTCACCTACATGGCCGTTGTAATATATGCGCCTTCAGTGGCTCTCGCACGGGTTTTTCGCGTTGATAAATGGATTCTCATTCTAGTAGGTGAATCATTTAGGAATTCCAGCATGTCAAATAATTCTGCTCGAGTTCCGTTTACATGCATCAAACACTATATCATTTCTCCTCTTATCAATGAAACATTGTCTAGTTGATTGTATATGCGTTCCTTGATACAGGCATCTTGCAAGTTGCGCTTTTATCAACGATCTTGCAAACGTAGGTTGTTAATCGATCACTCAGCCATCTTCAGCTGAATTTTATCGAGGCTGCAACCTTATCAGAAACTGTATTCTTATCAAAAAACTGATGCCAACTGAAAATGGTGTTTCGTAGATATTGTCTATTGCAGTCCCCATTTTGGTTGAATAGTTTTCGCGTGCGAAGAAGTGATTTTTGAATTCAGATTTTTGGGTTGACAACAACACTCTATACAACAGTTGGTGGCTTAAAAGCAGTGGTATGGACGGATTCTTTACAGGTTCGCGAATTCATCAAACATTTCTCAGTTTATCTAGTTCGATTGAATAGCCTCAAAAAATTCTAAGTTAACAGTATTTTGCAAATGGTTACCTCTTGCACACTGGACGCATCTGAGACGTCTGATGCCAACTTTCGATCTTCCATAACATCGTGAAGACTTGGGCATTTATGATTTTGTCCATTTCGTTGACCTCAACTAGAAGAGAAAAAGAGAATTTTTTCCGTACTCAGGAGCGCGAGCATTTTGTAGCATCAGAAATGAATCGGGCCTAAGAGGCTCGGTTCGTATCTAACGCTATGAAAAAATTTCAGTCGTGCGAGGGTTGAATTGAGTATTTGAGATCAACAAATCAGAAATTTCGAATCGGAAAGCCTAATATTTCGGAATCTGGTATTAAATTCAGGCTGTTATGATGTACGGAGGTGTTCTCGCGCTGATCTGCAAAGGTCTGTCGCATCCACGAGTTGGCGGCTTTTGGGCCGTCATGAATGTCGCCTATGAATCGGGCAGAGTGAATGAGCTGTGGAGAATTGATCCAAATCCTGCTCAGGTTTTTCGTTTTTCATTTGTTTTTTTCTTCATTCCATTCTAAGATGTGCTAATCTTCTCTTCGGAAGACGAGAAACGTGCCAGTGTTCATCCATCTAGAACATCAAAACGACCAATTGATGTTCGTTTGGTTACTGGACCTTGCTGAAGTTTCGCAATAAGGTGTCAGTGGTCAGCCGATAGAATACAAAAGCAATCAAGCGATCCGAGTGCGCCCAAATGTGTGTAGACCGGTGGTCCCCAAGTCTGCCAGACCATCGAAGGGGGCAATGGAGCACCGGTGTCATTACCCCATCCTTTCCGCTGTAATAATTTACTATTTCCATGCATTATGTCAGAACTAATTTCCCGATTCGCTCGATTACGTTCCCAAATTACCCACAAATGGGTAATTTCCCCCCCCCCCCACATCCTATGGGGACCTCTGATGTACATTGTGCTTTCATCGAAGAGTGCTACATTGCTTATTCTGTTTCAGTACAACAGCCTGTGGATTAATCTTTCATGCGGCACGATTATTTGGCTCGCATCGTTCGGCGTCAATCAACTCGCCGTACAACGCTACTTATCGCTGCCGTCATTAAGGAGCGCCAAGAATATTATCTATTGCACATTATTGCCTTTTATATGTTTATGCACTGCTGTTGCGTTCATCGGACTGATAGCACTGAAGTATTTCTATGATTGCAATCCGGTTGAAACGGGACAGTTGAAGGACATGGATCATTTGATCATTATGTTCGCGAAAGATGTCCTTTGTTAGTTCGAATACTTTGTTTAGTTCCTTTTCTTTGAAGCAATTTTTTAAAATCATATATTTTACTCCTTTCAAAACTCGTTTCCGTCTTACACTTTTTATTGCTTTTTATATTTTTGACTTGGATACAAACTTTTATTGTTTGTGTAGTCATTCG